ACAAGTAACAATTTAACAATAAGAAAATTACTTATTTAATTTACATAGAATAAAACGAAATATTGTAATGGATTTTTAAAAATTAATTTTATGAAACGGAGTAGGTGGGAGCAAGATTGTGTTTTGCACGTAACACCCACAACATGTTACTTTAATTACTTTAATGTATATTATCAACAGCATCCCTAAATTATGCTAACATATTGCATAATAAATTACAAACATACTTTTTTGGGCTATTTTTTTAATGTGACTCAAAACAATGTAGAATTATTGGAGGATAATTGCCTTTTAGAGTAGTTTACTGAGCATAAAATTAGTCTCAAAACTTACCTTTACTGACTTCGTGCATTTGGAATTTTGTCAAAAGCTAATTTCTTTTAAAAAAAATCTCCACTTTTCACACGGAAAATTGTATAAATAAAACATTCTCAAAATGGCACTGACAACAATTATTGTTGACGTTCCCATGGCAACAAGACGACTTAAATCGCTTGTGTTGTGAAGGTTCATGGTGTACTTAATTAGTCTATGATATGGAAAACGTTTATTGTACGACATGTATTATGGGTTCATTTAAATACTTTGGGCTCTCCCTGGCCCACCGTGGGTCGCGTAGTTCCAGGAACGAAATGGAGTCGATATTTTTATTGGGATCCCCCGAATCGCAAAGTATCGTATTCGGGTATTCTGTGAAAAGGGTTATAGGTAAATTGCGAAATCACAAACGCATAACAATTTATTATAAAGTACACATTTTTTTATATTCAATTAAGTAGTGGTCAATCGGCCAGCCCAACACTAAAAAGAATATCAAAAAGAATGCCACAATCTCTTTATGTCGCGTGAAACTGTTCCTTCAGAATCGACGGCAATTGTTTCCTTGGCGTTGCTAATTAAAACGCGCACCTGAATCGAAACTAAACATTTTACCGGTACTATGTAATTCAATATGCATTACTCAGTGATTATGTCTCGTTTTCGCATGAGGGCCCACCTCGACCTGCCTGTTACTACCACTTCACGAACCTTTGGCGTTATTTTCTAGACCGTGCTGGCGGAATTGTAGTCGCGGCTGTTTACTAAATAATTTATGGTTTTAAAATCGCCGCTCTGTAATACCGGTTTTCATTTGTCGTTAATTCCCCGACAATTAGGTATGCCGGTGAAGTGGGTGAGATTTTGAAACATCCTGTTATCAGTGGACGCGTTCGTTCGTGAAGTTCACGGTCGTCGTAATTTTCTCGTAAATAATAACGACGCTAAAAAAATCACCGAAAGTATTTCTATGGTACAGTGAGGTCAAAAGTTTTGTGTCAAAATTTTGAAAATTCGGCAAAACATATTTACAATACAATACCTTTCTCATCTGGTTTCAGAACTAAATCGTTCATTATTATTAACGTAAGTAATGTTATCATTATTAATAACGCCGTTATGAGATACAGAAATTTGCGTCACATTTAAAAATGTGGCAATAGAATAGCTTAGTCCACGAACTAAACAGTTTAAAACTATTCTCGCGTTAGCTATACAGAAATTAAATTACAAGATCCCATATTTTCTCTGTTCACCAATTCACTATTTCATGTGCCTTTTAAAAGTTGCAATATAAAAGTTTTCTAGTTATCAACGGAACAACTATCATTCTGAGTAACTTTTCTTCGAGTTTTGTGCCTTGAGTGACCTATCTGGAGTTTTCTTGGGATGTCCACTCAACCTGTTGTCTTTCTCTTCCGCAACAATTTATTTATCATAATTTAACTTAATTTATCTTACGTTAAATCTATCACACTGCTCACTACATTTATTGTAATTAGACTCCAAGAAATAGTTGCTGACGTAGATTGATGGAGTCCGTCTTGTTATGGAGGATTTTATATCGTATAATAATACTCCATGTGAATTTTCGCCGTTCCAGTGACCGAGCATCGATTATTCTAAATCCTCCGTTCCGAATAACTTGCATCAATGTGAACTTTATAATTTGTGATCAGCAAGTTAATTAAAAAGTGATCGAAAAATGACAACGGTGCCTATTTATTAGTATCTGCTTTACAATGGCCGACACCGAAATTGGATAGAATTTCCCATTTTATGTCTCTACGCTATTCCGAAATACCTTATGGTCCTAATATAAATTTAAACACAACCGCAACAAAGTTTATCTGGTCCGGTGATATATTTTAGTTACAACAAAAATATAATCGGAGTTGGGTAACGTCACCTTGTATATTAATGGTCGACGTTATTTAACATTCAAACGGCGGAAAACTATAATTATTAATAATAAACCAACGAGCCTGGCATATCTAAGTAACTGAAATGGATTATTCATTTATCAATATGCGATTACTTTTTTTTTCATTTATGCGCGCGTAATTGATGTGACAACGTACCTTTTCCGCAAACCCGAATAAATTAGTCGTTAATTAATCGATCTCATTATGTTTAAGCCCTCGATAAAACCGCGCGCTGAACCCATTTTGCTCGATTAGACCAACAAAAAAAATCCAATTACTATTATTAAAAGGCGCCCAGGCATCAAATGTTGATCCTATGTTTTTCGCTTCAAGCAAAGTGAATTACAACAATTCGTAACTTTTGACGTAAACAATTTTGTCGTTTATATTCGTTATATATCGTTTAATTATTCATTTGGTGGAAAGGAGGTCCATTAAGATTTTTAAATCGGTTGTATTTGGGTCGAATTTCTGAAAAGCGGTAACTTGTTTTTGATTCCATTTATTCTTTCGATTTATAAACGAACATGAAGCGGCGAAAATTTGAAAAAAGAAAAGTCGAATATTGACCGAACCGTGATGTTGTCGAAGCCATTCACATTTTTTTGAAACACGCGTAAATCATGGAACTCAATTTTATTCAGTTAATTGCCACCAAGAGTAAAAAATGCAAATATAAGGAGTTCATAAATTATAATAGTCCATCCAAAAATTGTAGCAACTTAATTTAGAGTGACCACAGTCAGAAGTCACTGATCAAATATTTCAGGTAAAAACTTATTAGTGACAGGATTACTTGATTTACTTTTTACTTTTAAGGAACGGTTGTAAAGTAGGTAGATAATTACCAAATTCACCTTTTTATATTAAAAATATAACGTGTTCTAATCAAACCGCCCTGCATTTTGCTTCTTTGCTCTAAGAAATTTTGAATCATGGCAAATAAAAAAAAATAATCCAGAGGAAAACTTTTTTATAAGAATAAATAAAAGAAACTGTTTCAAAACATACCGAAAAATCGATAGACAGACATCAACGCTACAGTAAAGCGATCGCCTGAATAAAGTTTATCAAACGCTTCTCGACTGCAGCAGCAGAGGTGCGGGTAAAGAGGTAGGTAGCCGCACGGGTGACTTCGAGTGAACTTGTATATTATTGAGTAGACTTTGGTACAACCAGGTCTTGAAAAAAGTTAAATAAGAAGAAGAAAAAGAAGTTATTGGTAAATTTAAGTGTCAATGGAATTTGACACGCTGTATATTGCCAATGGAATATGTGCAGATTAACGAAGCGACCTACTTTTACATAACACCCTGCCTTATATTAAGTTAGCGTAATAGATTGGGTATTTAGACCGCTACTGTTTATTGATCCGCTTAGGTATGTGTACCTTCTTGCGACCCACATTTTGAAGTACCTCGTTCGGAAAAAAAAATAGGCCAAACTTACGCACGTCCATAAACAAAATTATAATCTCGCTGCTCCCACGACTGCGACATCAACGACGCGACATATAATCGCAGCTAATACGACAATCAATCGCTCTCGCATAGAACTGGATATTATCTTTTTCAGTACGTAAACGCGTCTAATAAGCTTTTTAGGTAAAACTAGAGAAAAAGCCGCGCGGAATGTCTTTGAAAATGATCGAAACCGAACATGTGTCAATTTCTCGCTTGTTAACCATAAATATAAGTCGATTCGACTTAGAAGACGTGTAGTTTGCGCGTATTACGCTAAGCACATATGGCGCGTTACGTCATGTCATTATTATCGCTGGTTCGGTTGCAGGCGACCTGTGATTTGAGAAACGTTTTGGTTCTGGTCCTTCCCGTGAAGCTCTTTTAAATTTTTATTTTTTAATGTACATGGTGGCCACTTTTCAGGGGCATTCTAAGCGTAACTTTTGAAGCATTAAAGATACATGAAATTATCGCAGGTGGGGCCTAAGGATTATTTTGGAAAAACCAAATCTTTTTATTTTATTATTTCCTTACTAACGCCTTTATTTTTAATTTTACCAAGCAGGGTGTTTTAAATGAGTTTTTTGAAAATTTGCTTGCTTTGTCTACAGGGTGTCCCGATTCAAGAACTATTATTACCAACATTGAAATTTTAAATAGAACACGTATATTTTTTGTGTTTTTATAGATTCTATAAACAAACCAAGATAATTTTAATTAGCAAACTAACCAGAACTAACCTGGAGGAGACGTTAATAGAGCGCACAACATTTATATGTCACTATAAAGTGCCTGGTGCCTGTTCCTTTTAGACGAAAGTATTTCAAACATGAACTAGTTTTTTATGCATTTTGATGGTCCGCAATTAGCCACGATTAGAATGTGCACCATTGTTTTTCTCTGATCTCAAACCACTTCGATAGAATTTTATTCGAAATTGAGAAAATTGCGATTTTCAGTTGTTCTTTCCTCTTTTGTTTTAGAATTTTATGCTGATCGGTTGCATTTCAAAATTGATATTCCCTGTAGACAAATTAAATAAATTCATTCACATGATATCACTTTGAACCCGACTACTTTTGTGTAGCTCTGTGTTTGCAAAATTGGAAGTAAATGTGCTAGGAACTAAATGACAACCAAAAAGAATGAGCTTTTTCCAAAATTTTCTCCTTAGTCCACTTCTGGTAATTTAATTTTGATAGCTGCAGCGCATTATGTCTTAGCCACGCCTTTTGCCCTATTTCGAAAGTATCTACCCTGTAGCTTAAATTAATGTATATATATTTTTTTACAGAGACTACAACTCCCAACGATACATCGGCGGTGAACACAACTTCATCTCCAGTGAACAAGAGACGTGGTTTTAGCGGGTAAGTTTGTTTTTTTTTACATTTATTTTCTTAGGACAGATTATAATTATATATACAATTATAATATCCAATATTATACAGGTTGATTCAAAAGTGCTAAATTCATCAAAAGTTTTATATAGAATTCTCTGTATACCTAGCACTCTTATAATAATTATAATAAGTTAAGGCTTATTTTTTTTACTTACGAGGTGGGGTTGAAACTGTTGAAATTTGGATCGTTATTCTTCTGGTGTTGATGATTTATATCCTTGTAGAAGTAATTGAAGTACCGATTTTACTTTAATTTTATGTTATCTTTAATTAGTTTTCCTTACAGTCTGAATAATAAATTGCTCTTCGAGTTTCTGATTTTTTGTGTTTCAATGCCACAATATGGTCATAAGATTGTTTCTTTTACCTATTCACAATAACGATGTACAATAACTGATTTAAGGACTCGTCAAGTGCTATTTAACGACTAAGCAGTAATGGTTTCATTAAATTCACACCTACACTTGGACTTCTGTTACTCGTCGAGTTATTAAAAAAATCTACTACTCATCAGGTTCTTCTTCATTTGATGGTCATATATGTGATTTCTTGGTTTTAAAGATTAATAAATGGCGTATTTAATGAAATAATTATAAATTAATTTGTTATTATCAGATACGAATACTGAATATGTATTAAGTTATTTATAAATTGCAGTTAATCAAATCAACTTTCGCAAATTGTATTTATAAAAAACTTAGAATGGTATATTACACCGTTGACAGTTATGTAACATGTTTTCCCGGGTCCTTTCAATATATTTCCTGGACACAACGAGCTACAAGCGGGAACAGTTTAGAAATAAAATGCAAAACATTTGTCTTGGTGTATCAGTATGGTATACAGTGAAAACTCTCAATATGGACACCTCTATTAGGCGGACACTCCTCTTTAAACGAACATGTTTTTTGGAACGAAATATTTGCCTACCCTTTTGCCTGTAAAACAAACTCCTTCAACCGGACACTCCATTAAACGGACACGGACAACACTGTCCCGAATTTTAAAAAAATCCTCTCTTAAACGGACGTGAACCTCCAATAACAGGACAACGCAATACTAAAATATCGGAGAATTACCTTCTCCTCAAACCTATAGGGGAATTACGTTTTTCATTTTTCATATCATATAGTATTATTCATTACGCCGTGACTTGCAGTTTTATTTCGCAAGCAAATGCCGTAAGTGGATTCCACAATTTTTAAAATGGCACCTACTAAAAAACTTCTTACTTTGCGAGAAAAAATGGAAAACAAACCACTCGCTTTGAAATCCGAAACATGTAGTGGTTGGAAGCTTTTCAAGGAGAGGCTTACAACTTTATGAAGGTGCTAATATGGTGGGACAAAAAGATTTGCTCGTGATTGGAAAGGCTGCCGACCTAGGGCATATAAAAATATAGCAATTAAAAATTTACCTGCAATATGGAAATTTAACAAGAAAGCATGGATGACATGAGACATTATGAATGAATGGTTGAATGAATTTGATATAAAAATAGCCCTACAATAAATAATTAAAGTTCATTCACCTAAATTTTTTGTATGTTTTTAAAAAATAAACGTAATACATATTTGCGATTTATGTTGTTTTTTTTTCATGCACCTTTAATGAGAGGACACCTCTAATAAGCGGACAAAACTAGAGTAAGCGCGAGTGTCCGGTTATGGGAGTTTTCACTGTATTAGTGATTACTATTACTGTTAATGCTATTTTAAAAATTTATTTCCTTCTCCTTTTTTCTTACTCTAACTTATTGTCAATAAATTCTTACTGAAACTGCTGTTGTCAAAGCTGGCAACAATAAGTACGGTCTTATCTTCGTTTTTCCTTAATTGCCAGTACCTGTTCTTATTCCTGGGCAGGTTTTTCTATACCACTTATACCCCATTTCCTTTTATAGCAATTGAAACGTTTATCGTTGCAAGAGCACTCGCTACGTAAATCCCAATCCAAGTTTGTTTAACCTGCGCAGTCAGCATTACCAGCTGTATATGCTTATTCTCAACGGGTGTCAACACATGCAATTTACGAGATCGGCAACGTGTCTGCCATCTCTGTTGAAAGCGGCATCAAGGAATATTGGTAGGACGAATTGGCGAATCGTTATCAAAAATAACCGCACTGGAACAATCTTTCCATATTTTTTCGTCGAAAAAGATACGCGTCTGCTGCTATCTTTTATCTTATCTTGCGGTCTGAAATAGTCATCAAAAAACACTCTTAGTAATCCGTCGATACTTCAGCCGTGATTGTCGGTGGTCAATCGCGAATGGGGAAAGTCGGGAAATTTTTGCGAAGCGTATGCAAGTGCAGGTGCGGATGCGAAGGCGTCGACGAGTTCATAGACGACAGGTACCGACACGTACTAGCTTTTTCCGATGTAGTTTCGATTTTAGTTTACGATCCGGGGGCGCGTCCTAGAGGGGGTAGCGGCGAATTCTACGACCTTCCAAGAAGTGATTAAAGTAACTCAAAGTGGCGTCACTTTTTTTTTACGTAATGCTATTTAGTGAGCTTAACGTCACACGAGATTAACAATATCATTGCGATTTAAAATGTTTATTTTGATATCTCACTCGTGGTCGTATAAAATGTATAATTTAGCGATGTCAGGCGCCGATTTTTAATTTTTAGTAGACAGGAGGAAATCAGCAACCAGTAGGATCGACGACCGAAATTTACTTAGCAATGTACTATAATAATAATAATAATAATAATAATAATAATAGTAATAAATACATTTATTGCAGTGCCATACATACATATTTTTACACTATTATAGATATATTAGAGGGCAGACATACAGCAAAGCCAGACACTGCCAAGTCTCAATTTGATGTAAACCAAATTACCCTAAGAACAAGAAAAAAAAAATCAAATTAAAAAAAATGAAATATGTTAATGATTATGTTTATAATCATTAAAATAAAAAAAATTAAATATGTTACGCGGAGTTTATAATCATTAAATATAGTTTTCAATAAAGACAGAAGTTGTCGGACAAAGGAGAAAGGAAGGGGATAGGATAAACCGCAGAGTGGTTTTCCGATACAAAAATTATTGAGTTCCAAAAAGATATTTTTTTTACCGGTTTTTAAAAGTTTTCGTTGTTATTGTTAAATTGAAAAGACTTAAATTATTTATTTAATGTGCAATGCTATAAGAAAATGATTTCTTAAACATTTTTTCTCCATGTTGTGGCATTCTCAATATATTTTGTTTTCTTAGATAATATCTGTATATAAAATGTAAATGTAATAATTAATTTAAAATAGAATGCTGCAAGGTGTAACCTAAACCTATTGCACATATTAAGTCAACCCGAAACAGCCAAGTATGGAGAAATATCATCCTGTCGGCAAACTCTATAAACAAGCCGTAAACATGAATTTTGTATTTTCTGGATACGATATTGGTTAGCAGCGTTCAGACAGGTTAGAGTCTAAGAACAATCCTAAATAGGAGTGTTATTAATTTTTTATGATCATTTTGTTTTTGACATTATGCACCTGCGAGTCATTTTCAACAACCGACACCGACGATTTAGCTGCAGTAGATGATCGGATGTAATTTTATAAAAGTTCTATAAAATCAGTGTTCATTTTAGTCTCAGCCTGCTTCATTTCATGATCTTGAAATTGAAATTTTAGTGTCGTCAGCATATAGGTGATAATTACAATATTTTAAAGCTTTTACAAAGTTAAACGTATAGATTGTATACAATAAGGGACCCTTCACTAATAACCTAATAACGATGGAGGACTGGAATTTATAGGAATCTCCTTCCTAATGGCTTTGCCGCACCTGGAAATTATTTTCTTAACAATTACTTTATCAGTGACTTTTCTCTAAAATTTGTAATTAATTATATCAAGATTTAATTTTTATCAGCCCAAGCTGTATTCGCAGTACTGTCTTTACTGCTTATTTTTCGCATTCCGTGCAATATTATGTTTGCCGTCACTTTTTCTAAAGCTTAGCACTACTTGCTACTCTACAATATTTTAAACTAAGACTTTATTCAAAATCTCTCCTATGTTTGTGCTATATCACATTAGCTTCAATATCTTTTTTTATTAAATGTTCCAGAAAGTACTTTCTTTTTTTCTTATCTGCCACTTCGCACTGCCTTTTCAGTGTGACATTTTCTTGTCATCTCACAACATTACTGTCACTTTTTTTTATAAATGTATAGAGGTCACACCACACTCTACAAAACTACGTTACATACGACCGTACATGTTTGTTGACAATTTTATTAAACCTCCTGCTCTTATCATCTCACTACATTTTTTTAAAGCTTTCCAATGTTGACATATTAGTTTCACCATCACTTTTTTCATTAAAAGTGACAAAGAGTCTTGTCACTTTACAACATTACTTTACCTAAAACTTTCCGATATATTTATCGACAATTTTATTAAAGCTCCTGTTGCCATCATCTCTCGACATATTTACCGTAAATTTTTCCAAAAATTTTAAGGGCAGATGTTACCACCCTTTTCTGCTGATTTTTTTAAACGTTCCAATTTCATTCAAGCCGTTATAATCGATGTCGCAGCATTATCTTTACTGGTACTGTTGTACTTACTTTTTACTCTACAATATTTTTTTACTGACACTTTCTGTCATGTTTTCTTTACTGATGACTTTGCACAACACAACATTAGGATTGTATTCTTTATGTTTCCCGATAATTTTTCCAAAACTTTGAAGAGTGGACGTTTTACCACTACTTGTTTAAAGTTTCCAATTCCATCCAAGACTTTGTATTTACTGTTAATCTGTTATAAAAGATTTAGTTAGAAGTTAGGCTCGTACAAAACATATCAGGACGACAAAATAAAAACCTGACCTGACCGAGATACCTATCAAAACGACCACCAATAGGCATCGGATAATCTGCCGGCGTCAAGCCTTTGTGCATTAGCGGTGGTTTTCAGTGCATCTCGATGCCCGGCGTTGATCGCCGGTCCGAGACCACAACGTCACAACTTTATACTGTCCACAATATGTCGAACGTGTAAGTGCGGTTGTTATGATCCTGTTCTTTATTTCCAGAAGAAAATGGCTGCCGCCGCCGTTACGTAAACTGTCGCAAGGCAAAGTGGATAAAGGCTCGACCCCCTTGGATACGAGGCCGCCACTCAAGAAGACTGGATCGGATAAAAGAATTAAGGTAAGCTCCTTCAACGTAAGACCATGTCTTCTACTTATGCGGTAACCGACAATAATTGAGAGTCAAGTTTAAGCGGATTGTGCAATTGGTTTAGAACATAAGTCTTCTATTCCAGATACCGCTAGTGGGTCACTTACTAACTTACAAGTTCTTCTGTTACCTGATAAGTGGTTATAGTTCAAAGATGTATTGCCCGGTCCGTTTTAAATATAAATTGTCATGACCCACAATAGACCTCAATAAACCCGGATTCGTGTTAATAGAAACGTCATCAAAGGGCAAAGTTGAACCGAACCTGCGAATGAAATGAACACAATTTCGACCAAAACAGACGACTAGAAAATTAAACTTTTGATCAATTAATAGGAATTGCAAATTGCTTTTCGATGGTCGTTTTGTGTTATACGTACGTGATCTTAAATACAACTTCCTGGATATGTCACTAAGATATATCGGTTGGTAAACTTAATTCAAATGCTTTAACTAATGTACGCGCAAGTTGTATATACTCCCTGACTGAGAAGTTCTGATAAGTAATTGGATGGAGGTCTCTATGGGAAACGAAAAGAACTAATAATTGTTTAGAATACTAGAGAAATAAAAAACTGTAAATAGCTGAAGCTGAAGCTCTGTAGATTTACGTCTCTCAGCAAGCGATACCATACATCGCACTTGATCGCACGCCGTCATACTTTTAGGCACGGTATTTCAAGAGTCCTCGTTGAATCTGTTCGATATGCCAAATGTGAATCTCTAGTACGGTGGCAAAGGAGTACTCTAGTTTGGCACAAACGTATGCTTTCAGTGTTATTGAAATATGCAACTTTCCGATGATTAGACCAATCAATTGGTAACTATTTCTCATAATTTGACAAATATGGGGCACAAAAGGAAAATTTTCATTAGACGTTACTGCTAAGCCAGATCCGCGCAACTATTAACTTGATAATCAAAATGACTAATCTTGAGGGATTGAATTGCTTGTGAGCCTTGTGGAACGCCTTAATCGGTAACCCCGTAACCTCATTTAGAGCTCGCAGGATTGATTTTCAGCTTTGTCTTGCATATTTTAGGTCGTCAAGAAGCCGATTGTGTTATAAATGCAATAAGAACTAAAAATATGACGTTTAAAGTTGCACTTTACATAATTAGAACGTTACATTTGCGTGCACGAATACGACACGCTACTTACTATATTTGACGCATTACATGCGGCGTGTGTTTTTTCGTGTAATATCTGGAAACGTACCCGCCCACTTCTGCCCGGCTGCGTTGGTTAGATGATATATAATTACCCCGAATTCGCTTGGAATTTACGTATAATGAATTGTTTACGCTGAGATAACAAAATAAACAAAAAAATAAATTGGGGTTTTGTTCTGATTACATACACTCTTGATTTATAACCCTACAGACTTGTTGTTAGTTAATATGAAACTGATTATAAAATTAAGCTCAAAACAGGGAGCAAACAGTCTTAATATCGAAGTCTTTAATGGGTATGGGTAGCCTACTCACACCCATACCGTGATTTCAATGGTTTAGTAGAACCTAACCTACCATTTAACAAAAAAAAAATCATTAATTTTTTTTTTTTTTGGCAACGCCTACTTTGTAATTGGTGTGTAATTGCCAATTGCCAGATGCTTGGGAAAGATACATACTTCGCCCACATGTACCAACAAATAGATATTATTGCTCTAGAAAAATGGTAACCGAAAAAGAGAACATGGAGTGTTTGGTAGAGCTATATTTAACTTACATTAAATTTAAATTTTGGAGATCCCGAAATCATTTTTCTTTTATGTTCTCTATCATAATATATATGATACCAAGAAGTTAAAATTAGGTTATTATTTTGGGATTCGAATACTTTTCTGAAAACGACTTATTATTATTATTCGTTTCTAATAGACGCGAATTATATTGAAAATTTTATTGGGAGTAATTTTAATTTATGCGAAATCGATCCATGCCCTTTGAAACCTTAGATTGTTGATAATAAGAGAGATCGATCAGCTTTTTTTTTTTAATCGTGTATTCAAAATTCGATTATTTTAATAGTTTTTGTAACGTGTGTGCTCGAAAAGGGTCTCGAATATTTTGTTTCACTTTTAATTAAAAATCATCCTGTCGTATTTAAGCAAACAATTTTTTCTTCCATTTGATATTATTAAAACAACGCACAGCGTTAGACTTTTGTTCGTTACTGAAAGGGCAAGCTTCCCAAAAATCTAATGGAAACTCAAATTCTTCAAGTACCCTTTTCCTTATAATTATTATATTAAAAATAAAAACCATAATAAAAAAAATTTTTAAACTGTAAGTATAAAACTAATTACGATGTCCTCTTGCCTCTGCGGTTTACCTATCGCACAGTTTTTAAAATATATTACTATCTCACGGAAAGTCATTTTACGGAAGTCCAACATTTTGGTTAGTTAACAAAATTTGAACCACAAGTGCTTTTGCGGTTACGTAATTCTTGTTACACTCAGCAAAACGCTTGTCGTAGTCATCTTCTCATCCTAATATGCCTTTCAGCATGGATGTCTGTTCTTAATGCAGTAAAGAAACAAAACAAAATTTAGTTAGAATCCTCGTTTTTCGTTTTGTTCGACGTAGTTTTTATTTTAAAGTTCTCTATAAATACGGAGAAATCAAAAGTGGGTTATTATTTTAGGATCGTTTCCGATATTATTCTCGAAACAGCTAGTTATTATTATCGGTATGTATTTATTTTTTTTTTACAAGCTTCAGAAGCATCGATCGAAGTGTCGACGTTACGATACAGTACAAGGTGGTTCAAAAAACGGGCGCTAACTCTCGGCTGGTGTTTCGCCGCCTAAAAAACCATTTATGCAATATGTAAAAGACAAACATACCATCACCATTTACCGCCAAGCTTTCATGGAACTGCAGAAAAGGTTTGCTACAATCTTTGAAAAAAATTATCAGCAGAAGGTCTAGAAATTATAACCGAATAAGCAGCAACAGTCAGAATCGAAAGGTCCACACCAGAAGAGCTAGTATAAAGAAACGGTATGCCGCTTGTACTTTCCCCCTTCTTATTTAACCTTTACTCTAAGGCAGTATTAAACGAAGCTCTCGGAAAAGCTAGCTAGACAGATGGCAGAATTTCAGGACCTTATTGTAGAATACATGAATACGTCCAAGACCATACTATTGATATTCTCGAAGGCACCAAGACACGCCACCCTAGGATTTCATGGAGAGATCATTGAACAGGTGTCATCTCTAAAATACCTGACCACACTGCTGGCACCTGGCACCGAAAGCTCTGAACAACACTAGGGCACTTCTGACAAACCAAAACCTTCCCTTGAAGTGCGCACCAAAAAACGTTACTGTTACCTCTTCCCAGTTCTATTGTATTGATGCAAGAATTAAACCATGAAGGGAGCCACAAATGGGAACATAATACGAATATAAAGTTTCTACAGCAAATGCATAAACATAAAGAACTCAACAATCAAAGAGAGAGGACATCATATGAAATTCTAAAAAACTGTTTGGTGAAGTATCTTCTCATTCATTCATTTAGTAGTTACGGATAACGCAAGCAATCATTCACTACGCATTCACATATCATTACGCACTAAATTCTATAGAATTTCTATGAGCGCAAGCGAAAGTTTTTGTACCAAAACAACACGTGATTCAAAGCTCCTGTTTGATCAAACCATTGAAGAAGTGATACTAAAGAACTGGCGGAAAATAGTCCAGAATGTTATTAAAGATGAGAAGAAAATGCGGGATCTTGACTTTTTGATCGATCTGACTATCCACTCGTTAATTATTATGAGGGGTATTATGATTTTTTATAATTTAATTTCTGTATACTTTTGTAATGAATTCAATGACAAATAATGAGGTATTTGTTGGTCCCTTTCCATATCTAATGATGTTTTATCACTCTGCACCTTTAGAAATAAACTTTATATTAAAAAGTTTAGTCTCGGGGGTATTGTTAATTGTGCATGTTTTTTGAAACACCCTGTATTGGCAATGTCAATTTTCATTGAAACGGAAAATCGTCCGCATTGTTTTTCCCGAAATCTAAAAACACGGATATTTATTTATAATATGGCGCCCGATTTTCGCGTCCAGCGTGTAATAAATATATTTCTATGGAATATTTTTATATTTATATAAAATCGAGAGGGGGGCCTCGACTCTGCCGTCGAATTTGCGGTATTTTCGAGACCCACTCCGCTCTGTGAATCACCAGACGTTTTATCCGATATATGCTAAACGCGAACCACAGTTCGAGACGATGAATTAGCAGTAGGCTTTGAAATTAAGTTCATTTGTTTTGTGGCGAGTTTAATTCGGGACGCGAAAATTTGCCGTTTGGTGTGGACCTTTTTGTTTGGTCGGGTTTCGATATTTTTGTGCGAAATGAGGGTCAAATTATTGAGGCGCTTGTCATCGCTGATTCATCACGTGAGTAATTTCGGTGAGGTTTTCTGATCGACCTCAACCCGACATAAGAAAGTCTCAGTTACTAAATAATTTGGCGGACAATTTGTCACAAAGCGGGTAATGAAAATCAGTTGGATGACGGGATTTACAATAGTTTGGGAATTCTTTTATATTTAATCTTGGTAAAACCCTCAAACGTCATTTTATCTACACTGAACTCTGCGTAAAGGTTGACTAAAATAGGTGGGAGGCCATGTTTATATTCAGGCTCCATATTTTCCTTATTGCGTGCACGAAATTACTGTTTTTTCTTTGAAAATTTAAGAACATGCACTGTGTGTTCAATTTATCTTGATAACGTTTTAATGGGTTGTAACTTTTTTATTTTTAGATATATCAAGTTAAACAAAAAAGAGCAAAATATAGAGTTAGTTTCAGTCAATTTTCTGGCATACAAGCCTACATCATATATTTTTTAATGGAATACGCTCTATATGTGTTTAATAAAATATCTTATACCGATTACAATGATGTAACACACTTTATATTTTAGTCCACTCGTTTTTGACAAATCTGTAACAATAGGAAATTTTTATATAATTGCAAAGGGTGCTGTGACCGACTGCAACAACAATAATTATTTACAAATTAAAGTAGAACAAAACCACTAAAAATGACAAGACACACTAAAGTAAAAAATCTTTAACTATACTAAATACCACCATTTTCCGGAACACATTTCTCATACACTCATTGTATGATGTCTTGCGTTTAGTAACGTGTCTCTTAACTGATTTATTGCCTCTGAAATCTTTTGCCGAAGTTCCACGACATTATTACAAGTTCTTCGCACGTGATTTTTTATGTGTTCTCAAAAGAAAAAGTCCATTAAAGTTAAGTCGGGGCTGTTGGCTGGTCAATCCATAGTTAACCTCTGGGATATTCCATGTTAAGAAAATTTTTAACTTGTATAACATTGTGTGGAGGGGCACCGTCTCGCTGCCTTATAATCAGCGCTGATATATTTCGGGATAAATCTTCTATATATATCTATATATCTATATCTTCTATATATTGTTCAGAGTTGCAAATTATAATCTCCAGTTAACTTTTGATCTACAAATATCGGACCCAAAATATGCCCATCTATGACACCACACCATACCTTAATTTATTGGGCTTTTATTTCGGGCATTTATGTAGGATTATTTAAAGACCATTATCGCATATCTTGTCTATTGTAACACTTGTAGTGAACGAACTTTCATCACTCCATATAATGTTTTTCAAAAAATTATTATTCTCATTATGTTCTCATTATGTATGTTAAAAAATCCAAACAAAACTGCATCCTCGTTCAACATTGTTCTGCATTTAGTTTATATTCTTTCAAAACTGAGGGGATTGATCCCCGAGAAATACCTGTTTCTTCATATACTCTAGTAATAGAGGAAACTCTATGTGCTTCATAGAATCTTAATATGTTTTCTTTTCTTCATTTAAAAAATTATGATTCTGGAATAGCTTTTTAGCATTTAATTAATTATTAATAATTTCTTTGCCTGCCTTGGAAATATCTGTTTTGAAAGAGCTCGGCGGTCTGGATCAAGTTTAATATAAAAACAAGGAGCTGCGGTTGCATTTTTATTATTCAGAAAGTATACTTGAAGCACGGATGCTCAATTTGCGAAAAACTATTTTAACAATAATGGCTTGGACAATAATTTTTAATAATATGTCCAACATAAACATATTTTTGTCACTCAGGGCGCTCTTTGAAATTATATAAAAATTTCTCATTTTTGCCGATTTGTCAAAAACGCGTGAACTAACATATAGAGTGTGTTACATAATTGTGATCTGAATAAGACATTCTATTAAACACATATACAGCATGTTCCATTAAAAAATATGATGTAGGCTTACATGTCAGAAAATTGATAGTGTTTTGTTTTATACGTCACTTGGAAAAAAACTTGGCTACTAACCCCACATTTTGTTTTTTTGTTTACCTTGATATCTCTAAAAACAAAAAAGTTACAGCTAATTAAAATGTTATCAAGATAAATTGAACGCACTGTACAAAGTCCTGAAACTGTTTTCAAAATCACAATGGTGGCTTTTGTGTTTAGTTTTGTTTTTCAGCATTTGCTTGGAACAATTTTTATCGCATCCACCACAACAGGGTGCACATGGTTTTCGATTCATAATTTTGGTCGCAGATTTTTATATATTTTACCCATGACTTGCCTAATGCTCCTCTGTACATCACCTACATCGAGTAAAAGTGTATTATATATTCTTGGAGATGTTACTTTCAGGTTATAATCCGTATTTCTCACTTGTTAAAATTGATGTAGGACATTGGGTAGTAAGAAAAGCATATTCCACACACTAGACATCACAAAATCATTGCTGCATGTATATTTATATAATATATAATGTATAAATAACTTCGCAGAACCATTACGCTCGGTGTAACTCTCTCTATCCCGTTACCCTCTTGAAGGTTTAGAGGCACTGCTGGATTTTACTCTTAATTTTTCTATCTTGGACTATTTAGCTATAAATATCGAAATAATGATGACTTGTGATTTTTCATTATTGAAGTATGAACGCATTCGGTCTGTATTCGGTTTTTGATACCCTAAGTATACGCATAAATCCAAGGCCTCGATTCAGATGCGTAAGGATCTAAGCGATGGCCAACCTTCTTTTAAATTCATCTGAGCAATGCTTGATTTTCGAAATCATTGTTCCCAAGTATATTGATCGATATCTCTAAAAACAAAGAAGTTACAGCCAATTAAAATATCATCAAGATAAATTGAACGCACGGTACACAACAGATCTAATATCCGGTTACCTAACTAGGGTATAATATCAAATCAACCAGCGGCATCCAAGAGCCTATAAAATATGTTCTAAATGTTGTGTATAATATTATTTGAGTCAACAACCATAATATATGATTGGTAACTTTTGAACGAAACCTGATTTCAACGGAGGGACTTTGTTTCAGGTACCGTCAGCGGCCGAAATGGGCAACAACAAATCTTCCGTGTCGGAGGGCGAAGAAGACGACGAGAGGTCGAACCATAGCTTGAAGGGCGCGAAGTCGTTGGGGGCGGAAATCACAAACGGCGGTGAAGACGTGGACGAGGAGTGCGAATTGCCGCCGCCGATGAAACCCATTCAGGAACCTATCCTGGTAACGTCACCGCCCCCGGGTGTGCCAGGAGTTTCAGAGATGGATGATAATCCGTGCAAGAGGGTGAGGGATTTGCTCTTTTCTTAAAACCGTCGATTCATTCATTTAATTTTTTAAAATTATTCGTGACATGTTTCTCTAGGTAATTCGTTGTTTCTGAGTAACACTTGACTACATGTATTATAACAGGTGATTCTCAGTTCTAATTATTGTACTTCTCTAGCACTAAAAATTGCAGTTGAGTATTTGCATTTAAAGCAATATACAAGTCATAATCTTACTATGGAACGAAAATATGTATTTATGGGAACAGTTTTGAAATACTCGATACATTTTGATTGAAATATATTATGATGTGGTAAGGTCCTTTAGTTTAGAGACGGAATAAAGTTTACCCGTTAATGCTTATATTCTCTTTTCTGAAATTTTGGTCTACCAAGTAAGCCCAGTTCTTTTCTCTAATTAGACTCCGCAGATTCGATAGTGGCTAATTGGTGTTGTCTCTGGTTTGGTTACACGTAGTAGATGAAAACGTAATCTCGATAGGCATCCTCTTATAGGCAGAATCTGCGTTACGTGATTCCTTCCACCCCTTGAGACTTCGTTCCCTGTTAAGTTGGCAGTGGTCAATAGATCTTAACGACCTTTCTTTTACAGTTAACAGGTCTGCTGTAAATTTGAACCATAGACTTCTGAGGAACTATTATGGGGATTCCCTTCCTGTCCTTTTTTTATGGCTGATTTTACAATGGATTTAACCCAGTTTTTGGTCCAATCTTGCGAACCTTCCCGGGTTGATGCATAGGTGTTATTGCCGTTGTTTCGTCTTTATTTCTTTTGAACAGTGTTCTAGTGCGGTGATCTCTGTTTCAATTTTATTTTCATCCTGGGTTCATATTTTCTACGTCCTATATTTTTTGAGTCTTCTATGTACTAGAATTATTTCTGCCATTATTGATGGACAACGTTCTCTAGTTGGGCTTTGACTTCTGAAGTGTTTAGCAATGCAGTATGCGGATGTAGTACTGTAGTACTGTCCATTAGACAGCACCAAGTCTTCCTTTATCTCCCCGTAAAGCTCATCATGTTTTTATTATATGCACTAATTATAACTAGAAATTTACATTTTAAAGTCTTTATATAGGCTGTCAAAAATATAAGCATTCGGGTTTCAAAGTTACGTTGCTCTTGGCAAACCAGCCGTTAAACTTTAAATTTAAATAGGACCTTGTTGTATATAATGCTTAAACAATTGTATTCTCTTACAACTGCTTTTTTTATTATTCATATGTGTTGTTTACTTATGATAATTTAAAGATGGACAAGGAGGGATTAATCGCTTAAATATAAAACATATTATAGCATTAGGTAACGTACACGCACACTATCATCATTCCAAAACATTATTGCTCTTACCCTTATTATGTCTGCGCTGTATAACATTTAACATTCATTTTCCCTTAAATCTGCTGATTTCAACTATGTTTATTTCTTCTTTTCCGAACCTGCAGGTATCTAGCCTTACTATAAAATCGCTAGAGGGCGCGACATCCGCTGATCTGGCCGAGATCGAACAGATCGTTAAGGAAAGAATGGTGCGAATATTTTGCGATGAATGCGTTTCCGTAGTCTTTTTTTTCTGTTTCGCATCGCACAAGTTTTGTTACCCGTGTGCATACGCATGGTCGTTCAGATATTACTTGACAGAAAACAAACCGAGAGTGCAAATAAAGTGGTAAAGTTTAAAATCATTTTCTTGAACACAGTCGGTTCGTTTTCTTTTCTTCACACTTTCGCATGATATCTAGCGTGCTATGCCACCTTTGACCACCTTTGACCTTCTCCTGCACTCCCATTCGCTCTCTGTAGATCTTTTTAGAGATATTGCACGTGCAGTATGGCTCATTTGATTTGTTTTCAATGACTTACCGTTAATGTATCAAATACATTTTATCAGTTTCGTTAGTATGTAACTATGTAATGTTTATTAGCTTGATTATTTACACGTCTGGTTCTAGTCGTTTAACTGTAAAATTTTAAACTTGGGAAAGCTTATGGAAGAGCTTACATCACTCCTTATTTACTGCGCCATCTGCAGGTTGAACGGCGAAATTCCAATCCCAACCTTGGCAATTTAAATTTGAGCATTGAATTCGAAGTTTTCGAATATTAATAAATCTGACGTTCAGCTTCACCTATCTAACTCGATTGTTACTCCAACTGTTTGAATGTTTTGGCTAATGTTGATAATGAGCTCATGCGAAGTATAGAGGAAACAGTAAGATAAATCTAGAGACAGAGTGCGAAAGAGAGAAGAAGAGGAGCGAGTCGGACAGAAATTGAAGGGGAAGGTCACACAAGTTATCGGAAGGTGGGTGCCCTGAGAAGGAGATGAGAGACTGATTGAGAGATATCAGGACGTACAAGAAAGGTCGATGAAAGGGGAGAAAACAGAAATTGACCGGGAAAGTGAGAGCGAGCGAAACCGGGAGAGACGAATAAGAGGAACAGTAACACAAATCTAGAGAGAGAGTAGGAAAGAGAGAAGAGGAGGAGTGAGCCGGACAGAGATTGGAAGGGGAGGGTAAGAAGTTATCGGAAGGGAGAGTGGTGGGTGAGTGACCCTGAGAAGGAGGTAAGAGTCTGATAGAGAGAAAGCAGGGGGAACAAGAAAGGCCAGGGAAAACGGAGAAAAACAGAAATTGACCGGGAAAGAGAGTGCGAGCGAGCCCGCAGAGGCGAAAAAGACAGAGAAGTATAGAGAGAAACAATAAGATACATCTAGAGACAGAGTGGGAAAGAGAGAAGAGGAGGGGCGAGTCGGACATAGATTGGACGGGGAGGGTATGAAGTTATCGGAAAGGAGACGGTGGGTGAGTGACCCAGAGGAGGTGAGAGACTGATTGAGAGATAGTAGGAGGAACGAGAGAGATCAGATAAAAGAGGAGAAAACAGAAATTGACCGGAAAAGTGAGAGCCAGTGAGACCTGGAGAGACGAATAAGAAAGAGAAGTACAGAGAAAAACAGGAAAAATCTAAAGACAGAGTAAGGAAAGAGAGAAGAGGAGGAGCGAGTCGGGCAGAGATTGGAAGGGGAGGGTCAGAAGTTATCGGAAGGGAGACGGTGGATGGGTGAGCCTGAGAAGAAGATGAGAGACTGATGAAGAAATAGCAGAACGAGAGAGGCCGGGTAAAAGGGAAGAAAACAGAAATTGAAAAGGAGAGAGAGAGCGAGCCAGACGGGCAGAGACGAATAGCTGGGCGGAACAAGAAATATTACTCAATCGTGAGAAAGGCAAGAAAGAAAAAGAAACATTTCGGGGAAAATGATCCGGTTGAAGGGGAGAGGGATCGCAAAATAGAAGAGAACGAACATATTAACCCAATTGGTATTGGTATTGGTATTAAAGGGGGGGCGCCCTCGCGGGCGTCCAAGCACTTAGGCCACCAGCACCATGTGCCCCCAGGCCGCTCTAGAGGGCGTCCAGAATGCCGCCCCTCCTGTAGAAGGTCAGCAACTCCTTTAGCCCAATACCGTGCACTGAGTCCGGATCGATCAGGGCCGTTCCGAAGACTCCCAATCTTGCCCATGTCAAGGCAGGGCACTCGGTGAGCAGATGATACGGGGTCTCCTCCCCTTCCATGCACCACCTACACTCCGGGTCGTCTCCAATGCCTAGCAAGCAGAGATGCCCCCTAAGCCTGCAATGTCCTGTGTAGGCCCCTGTTAGTGCTCTACACTCCCTCCTGGTCAGTCTAAGCAGCTCCCTGGTCCGAGGAAGGGCGGGCCCATCCATCATAAGCCTCGCCTGTCTCATTCCCTGAGCAACGCTCCAGCCCCCCGCGGCCCGGTCTCTCGCCCAGGCTTCGAGAGGTCCCCGCCTCACACACGGGGCGATCCCCAAGCGGGGCTCTGGCCCTATATGCCTATGCGAGGAGCCCTCCCTGGCTAAGGCGTCCGCTGCCTCATTGCCCCGAACACCGGTGTGACCCGGGACCCAGACCAACGTGACCTTTCTCTCCTCAGCCACCCTCCTCAGTACCCCTTTGCACTCCTTTATCAACAAGGAGCGCGTACGCACTGACTTCAGCGCCATGAGTGCAGCCCTAGTATCCGAGCAGAAGAAGACTCTCCTGCTTCCGTAGTTGAGCCGAAGCACCTCTCTGGCCGCCATCAATAAAACGAAAATTTCGGCCTGAAACACAGTGCAGTACTGACCCAGAGGGACCGACAAGCTTGATCCCGTTGTCTCGCAGTACGCTCCAGCTCCGGCCAGATCTCCCATTCTGGACCCGTCCGTGTACCAGACAAGTCCATCCCAGGAGTCGACTCTGCCCTCTCTCCAATCTTCCCTTGATGGAAAGAGCAAGGTCAATTTATCAAAGAAGGTCATCTCGGGATCATGACGTCACTCGGCATGCCCATGACTCCGCGATCCCCGCGACAGCCCTCTAAAATGTCGTACGGACCCCGATTGAAGGTTCCCTCCCTCCAGAGCCCGCAGCTCGCCAGCCTCCTGTCCTGGCCGCCTCCATCTGCACCCTATCCGCCAGAGAGGGCAGCCCCACCAGAGCCTCCAGGGCCCTCGTGGGCGCTGTTCTCATGGCGCCCGTTATGCAGAGGCAAGCCAATCTCTGCAGTCTGTCAAGAACTAGCCTTGCTCCCGCTCTTTTGGTCCCCGGCTACCATGCCACTGCCCTATGCGTGAGCATAGGCACCACTATGGTACAGTAGATCCACTGCATGATCTTCGGCCCCAGGCCCCAAGTGCCCCCTACCGCTCTCCGGCACGCCCACAGAACTCCAAAGGCCGACCTGGTCCTTGATCTTATAAGTTCCTGGAAGGTCAACTTAGAGTCCAACCATACGCCCAAGTACTTGACACTTCCGCTTGCAGAAAGAGGCACCCCATCCATCTAAATGTTGAGGTTGCACTCCATCTTCCTTTTCCTAGTGAAGATGACCATCTCCACCTTGCCATTGGTGGATTGACAGCCAACTTGCTGTCCAGGCACCATTGTGAGAATCTTGCCAATGCCCCGTTCAGGAGCCCCTGCATCCTCCTCACGTCCGTCCCCTGCGTCATTATCACAAGGTCGTCTGCATATGCCTGAGCATAGACCCCGTGTTCTTCCCTCAGAATATGCAATATCTCGTTCACCACTAGGCACCACAGGAACGGGGACAAGACCCCACCCTGTGGACAACCCCGTGATGAACCGATGGAGACCTGCTCCCCACCCAGTCTTTCCTCGACCCTCCTGTCGGTTAGCATGGAGCGGATCCACCTTACAATGGCCGTCCCCACTCCAGTACTCTAAACCGCCCTGCAGATCGAGTACAGGGCCGTGTTATTGAAAGCCCCTTCGATGTCAGCGAACACGCACACCGACAGCCGTCCCGAGCCCATACCCTCCTCCAACCTGGAAGTCAGATGGTGAAGAGCTGAGCCCACAGACCCGCCAATTCGGTACGCATGCTGAGCTGGCTCTAAAGGGGCCTCCAGCTCCACCCAGTCCCTCAGATACCGGTCCACCAGTCTCTCCAGAGTTTTCATAATGAAGCTGGTGAGGCAAACAGGCCGGTACGACTTCGGGTCTGTGTAGTCACTCTTCCCTACCTTGGGAATGAACACCACCCTGCTGTGTCTCCACAGCTCGGGCACGTACCCCCTCGCAATGGAGGCCCTGAACAGGTCCATCAGCGGGCTGGTCAGGAGACCTCCGTCCCTTTGCAGCAGAGCCGGAAATACTCCATCCCCGCCCGCCGACTTGAAGGGGCCAAAGCTGTCAATAGCCCACCTCAGCCTACTATGGGTAACCACCCTCCTTGCCGTGGCGTAGTCGCCTCCAAGACGACCCCCGGCTTCAATATTCCCCCCTGTGTCCGGATCAGCGGACCCTGGGAAGTGCGTGTTCAGCAACTGTTGTAGTGTGTCCGCTGGTCCCGCTGTGTAGCCACCGCCGGTCCTGCGGACCACCCCCAGTCTTCCCGCAGGGTCACTTCTGAGTACCCTAAGGAGCCTAACCGCGTCCGGGGTATTCATTACTCCGTCGCAGTAGCCCCTCCAGGCCCTCCTCTGTGATGCCCGTGGTTCTTTTTTGTACTGTCTGCGGACCTCCCTATAGAGATCCCAGTCCGCACCTTGGCTGCTGCTCCTCGCTGTATTGAACAGCCTCCGCACTTTCCTCCTGAGACGCTCCAGGGAAGAGCTCCACCAAGGAGTCCTTCCCGCCCTATGCTCCTCTGTCTCAGGGCAAGTATTCTCGAACGTCCGCATCATAGCGGAGCTGACTCGGTCGGCGGCCTCGTCAATCTCCTCCATTGTGCGGTGTTTCCTTGGTAAGCCCCCTAGGCGCCAAGCGAGTTGCTCTCTATAGAGTTCCCAGTTTGTTGCCCGGGGGTTCCTAAATCTAACAGGTTCCCGAACACCCATCTCCAACCCAAAGGTGATGTGTCTATGGTCCGACATAGAGTCTTCCCCACAGACACACCACCCAGTTATTTCCGGGAGCAGAGCCCTGGTACAAAGTGTTAAATCTATGACCGAGCTCCGACCCGTCGCAGTAGGAGACCAAGTCACTGATCTCCTGCGGAGGACAGCTGCGGTCGCCTGGAAAGTACGCAGAGGCGACCACTACCTCCCTCATGCCGTCCCGAGTGGGGGATCTGACCAGAATTGGAACCAGGTCCCTGGACGCCTTGTCCCTTAGGAAAAAGGCCTCCAGCCCCATGGTTAGAATACAGGCCCTGGGACCGCCCTCTAAGGAGTCGACACTATGCAGCATCGATCCTCCCAGAGATAAGCCCCTAACCCTTGATTTTACAATCCAGGGCTCTTGGATCAGTACAATAGATGTACCGCTCTCCGAAATTTTCCTGCATAAGTGGGCCGTTGCAGCCCTGCTGTGTTGCAGGTTAATCTGTAATATCCCCGTGAAGATGTTATTGCGGGAATACCACCTGCGGGTCACGATGCTAGCCTCAGCCCGAATCCGAGCCCGAGGTAGCACCTCCCTCCGCTTCCGCTTCCTGACTGGTGGACCCTGATGGGATTCCCCGGTCAACTTCCATCTGAGATACCTCCTCGGTTCTCGCTTCCTCGGAGGGCCCTCCGGAGGTCTCCTCCACAGAAGCCGTGGGCGCCGCCTCTCCGACAGGCCCGCCAACCTCCATGGACAAGCCCTCCTCGCGTGAGCCCCCCGCGGCCACCTCATCCCCCTGCGGCCTCGGCGCCGCCAGGTTCACTTTTACCTGTGTCGCCAGGCAGAAGAGCAGTGAGCCCTTAGCCGTGATGGCGCTTGCCGATTTCTCGTCCACGCCCACCAACAACCTTGTGCCCCTTACATCCTCCGTCCTCTGCCAGACCCTCCAGGCACGGCAATCTAGGCCATTCTGAGCTGCCAGGCAGCGGACTAGTGCCTCATTCGAGACACCCGCCCCCAGGCCCGGAATCCATATCGCCGCCCTTCTCAGTCTCAATCCTTCCGGATCGACCTCCACCAGGTTTGCGAGCCCCCAGGGCCTGACTTTAATCAGCTCCCTGCGAACCCACTCCCTGGTTTCTTCATCCATCATCTCGATCAGGATGTGGCTCCTCCACAGCCTAACCGAGCGTATCCGGGGAGGGGTGTATTGCCCCCCCTGCATGATATACATGCTTATGCGGAGGTTAAGAAACCCTATGAACCGCAGCAGGTTCTCGGAAGACAGGTCAGTTTCCTGTCCTCTGAGGCCCACCACCAGTTCAGGCCCCCCCGCCTCCGCTTGTGCATAGGACCGAGCCCCCTCTCAGAGCCCCCCCGGGACGGCCCGCCTTTCCCGGGCCTAGCTTTCGCCGGGCCACGTGTCAGCCGCCGACCCCCGGCAGGTGCCCCAACCTGGGTGGTCTCTCCCATTTTTCTTTTCCGCTTCCCGCCTGCCGTTTCCGGTGTGCCCCCTATGGAACCCTCCGTTGACGGCGTGGCAGGATTCCTGGGCGCCGGAAGAGAGCCCGTCTGCGGTTCCGAAACCGTCACCGCGAGTCTATTCTTCTTCGCCCTCCTTTTTTCTGCCCCACTCCTATGTCTGGGGCGGTGTGTCATCGAGGTGGTGTTCCCGGTTTGTACCGAGCCCTCCACCCCGCTGGCGACCTGGGGATCCTGTTCGGATCGCCCTTGGAGGGGGCCTTCCTGAGGACGCCCCTGCTTGCTGGAGCCCCCCTGGGTCCCCTCCTCCTTCTTCATTACTTCGCATTTCATTTTTGATTCCATAAAGGTCCCACGAGTAGCTAGGGAAACATAACGGTCCACCTCTGCAGAGCCCCGCATGCAGAGGTAAGGCTTCCTTCCCCGAGGTGCGCCCGGTGCCTCGGGGTTGGGATCGGTAGAGACTGATCTTATATTCAGCCATGCATCCCCTAGGCCCGACCACCCACCGTAGGATTTAGGATTTTTATTGAGGTTTACTCCTCTTGGTCCAAGTGGTGAAGCTCACTCAGACCCCCCGCGTCGCGTGCCCACTCGTCGAGCCGGCCCCGACGCCTGGTTTATCAACCGACTACAAGCCAGTTGGCACCGTTATACCCTGTGCAGGCCCTTAGCCACGACACGACAGCTGGGCAGGGTGAGCTGGTCCACGACTGGTTATTTGTCAGCCCTATTGGATTTTTACCTCCTCAAGCCTCCTTATTCCCAGCCACCCAGGCCCGTCAGGGCCTGGGCTCCCCCATCCGCCACCCGGGGGACGCGCCTCATGGATTGCTCAACCACAGAGGACATATTAACCCAATGAATACTTAAACTAATTATTAATCAAATACTGTTTTCTCCTCTTAACGTTGTAATTATTGGATCGACTTCCAATACGGACGATTATTATTATAGTCCCTCCCAGAAGACACCTTAATATTCGTTACCAGGGCCTTTCATAAAAGTTTTGTCTCGTCACATAATTGGTAGTATATAACTGTCGTTAATCCACTTTCTTGAAGATATAAGAATATTACTGCTTTATACTTCTCAAGTATTTTGTCAGCAAACAATTTCATTGATTTCCAAACAAGTGCTTTTATGCTTTTCCCAGGCAAAATCCATATTTTTAACAGTTGTCCATACAACTTTTTTTAGTTATTAACGGGCAAAATATCAGGTACGAAGGGAAATCAGAGAGACAAAAATGAAGACAAAGTCTATAATCATTTGATTGCGAAAAGTTTACTGTCCATGGCCCATGGCCCACGCCGATATTAAGCAGAACCTGTCGAATTTTTTCATTTTATTACTCTACACTAGTACTACAAAATGGAAAAGAGAGAGTAGAAAGACAGATGTTCTAAGTTTGTGAAACTTTTGAGCCATACTGTTACTGCATGCTAGTCAGTAGTTCGACGATGCATGTGATACGTATCGCATATCGAAATTGTTCGACTCTTCCACTTGCTTCGTTTTACGGCGATGTAAAAATAACGGTAAACTGATTTCAGGAGCAACATTCTGAAAACCAAGAAAGAAACTCGTTACACCGGGACACGAAGTCTTCGGAAGCGCTGTCCGAGTTCAGTTTGGATTCCCAGAAAGAATTGCTGGCTCAGTGCTCGTCGACGGAGGCTGCATCTATGGCGTTCAGCGGAGACGAAAGCGACAAGCAGGTGGAAAACGCTGACGCGAAGAAAATAGAAAGTTTTTTGAAAAAAAGGAGGTTCGTGTTGAAGGAACTGGTGGATACGGAAGAGGCGTACGTCAGGGATTTATCCTTGGTGGTTGACGGTTATATCGCGACGATGAGGGATTCCGAATGCGAGATCCCTATGCCCGAAGACTTGAGAGAAGGCAAAGACAAGATCGTGTTTGGAAATATCGAAGCTATATATGAGTGGCACAAAAAGTAAGTTCGCGATTTTAGGTGCGAAGACGTCAAAGGTTGAACTCGCGCGTTTTGTTTCAGTCATTTCCTCAAAAATCTCAAATCCTCCCTAGAGAACCCGATCGAATTAGCGCAGCTTTTCAGAAGGTACGAACGAAAACTCCAAATGTACGTCATTTACTGTAAGAATAAGCCCATATCCGAGTACATAGTGGCCGAACATTTGGACACGTATTTCGAAGAACTCAGAGTGAAATTAGGCCACAAGCTTCAACTGTGCGACCTGCTCATCAAACCCGTCCAAAGAATAATGAAATACCAACTCCTGCTAAAAGATATCCTTAAGTATACGGAACGAGCCGGGGTGGCGGAAGAAATCGAACCTCTTAGGGCCGCTTACAAGATAATGGTGGTCGTGCCCAAGAACGCCAACGATATGATGGACGTCGGAAGGTTGCAAGGGTTTGAGGTTAGATCGTGTTGATTTAGAAACGGAAACAGGAAACTTATTTTTGTCGATCGTTTCAGGCTGGTAAAATAACCGCGCAAGGAAAACTGTTGCTTCATGGGCCGCTCGTAGTGTCGGATTTGCCAGGGCAAACGGTTGTGGGCAAAAACAAGGAATTGCAGGTCTTCTTGTTCGAACAGAGTATCATATTTTCGGAGGTCGTCGGGAAGAAGACGCAATTTACGAGTCCGCAATACATCTACAAAGCGCACATACAGGTAAGCACATACATTAACTTTTTTGAAGTATCTTGATACTAAACTGGATCGTTAACTAAGACATTCGTATAAAGACTATTAGACTCAGAGGCTTGAAAAGAAAGTCTCTATATTTGTGGACATTAAACAGTTGCAGACACTTGTAGAGGCATAGTTTACGTATGGAATAATTGCATATACGTCACAAAAACAGTTTATCAAAATATCTTTTTTTAAATAAGCTGAACCCTTGTTCCAAGATAGTAAGCTCCTGAATATTCAACATTGGAAAGCATTCACAAAAGCAAAAGTACTGTAATTAACATAAACCAGCCTCATATAGACCATGGATGCGAAACACCGAATAAAGCTATATATCCAATCACAACTGATTACAAAATTAATTGAAATTGGATTGTTAAGCGCAGCCTACCTACCTGTGCTGTCGTTGTCCACCATGGTATAAAAGTGCCTTCTTAAATGGTAGTCTTGGTAGTTTCTCGGGCTCAATGAATTGAGCTACTAGTTGCCCCGACTGCCCACTAGTGGTGCGCAGCTGGTTATATGATCAATTGGAATTTTGTGCTCGTCTAAACACAGCCTACATGTGCTGCCGTCGTTCAGGATGATGTAAAGGTGCCTTTTGAAGTGGCAGTGTTTCTTTTGTGGGGCGATTTGGTAGTTTTTTGGACTCAATGAATTGGAGCTGTCCTGTGCTATTGTGTACCATGGTACCTTCTTAACTTGCAGTGTTCCTTTCATGGGGAGTTCGAATAGTGTCTCAAACCTTCCCTTCCACTCCCATCCTAAGGTGTAAATTAACCTCTAAACTCGGTCCAGAGCCGCCCTGATGCTATGTCTTTCAATTGAGCACCACCGGGAGATAGGCAGCATAAGTGATGAGTGGTTTGTTTCATTGCCATGATCCGCTTAAGAGAGCTTAGAATCTAGGGTCATCCCCACACACTTCACGGTCCTAACCGGCCCCAACGCCATATATTTAAGAGCATGGCAATGGAGGATGGCGCCTTGTTTCCTTTTTGTTTCTGAACAGAAGTGGCTCCATTCTTGTCAGATTTACCGACAGGCTTTTGTTCGCATACCTTAGTGCAAAGGTCCGGTAGGGTCTCCTCGCCACCAGTATGTAAGCCCTTGCTTTCTCGTCAGCCACCTGAAAAACTAAAAAGTTTTTATGTAAAATATTTTTATAACGTTATATTTTGTACCATGGCCTTTGCAATAAAAAAAATATTTTTTAAAATTTGGATTCTATACAGCCTGTGTAAAAATCTGTCTTTTGTTATTGGTTAATCCATACCGATTTCCGCAAAGACTGAGTAAACTTAAACTTCCACTTCAATGCTGAAAATTTACCGCCCCGGTATGGCACACAATCACTTAGTCTTCATTTTATGTATTTATCTGCCTTTTTTGATTTATTATCTGTCAGCAAAATTAAACGGCAGAGTTCATATTATGCATACTTATTAAATGTTCACCATGCAGATATTTTTTTACTCCCAGAGAAATAAGGATCTTCACCAGTTAGTCTATGATTATTTAGTCTGTGGTTGGCAGCATAAAAGGTAAACCCAACGAATTTGACTGTTCCCTCTCCCAGGTGAACAAGATGACCCTCGAAACAAAAGAAGACTGCTTCGTCCTAACGTCGACCGACCCCAAGAACCACAACTGCTTAACGGATCAGCCGGTGAAGAATTCTGTAGGCTTTGTGTGTTCGGCGACGACTGACGATCTGCAAGACCAGTGGCTGATGACGATACGAAATATACTCCAAACTCAACGCGATTTCCTTAAAGCTATCCAGAGTCCGATCGCTTACCAGAAGGAGTTGACCAAAGAGGCGTGAGTATGACAGCTTGCCTACTTGGACTTGGGGAGAGTGTGAGAAGGGGTTGCTTCGGACCAGGAGTAGTAACTAACATATGTAAAAGAGAGCGGGCTCGGAATATAGGCAAATCACACTTATACCGCTTCCGTTGTATATTGGTGACACATTTTGTATATAGAATGTTAATTTTCTGTGATAGCAAGGGTGAATCAGTTCCGGGCCCGCGCTCGCACGAGTTGTAAAATAAAAGTGAACAAGAAACAATTGTGATACGATCGAGATAATTGGATACGACGGAAAAAGGACAAAAAACTAACCGAATGGTCTGTTTCCAATCAAAATAGAGAAAAAATATAAAATCCTATCCTATATAAAGTGATGATTTGTTTAGGTGTAACCGTTTCGTTTTCAATACGATGTTTTTCCATACTACTAAATGTACGATACCACTTATTAATACACGCAAAAAGGTCTCTTTGTTATTATTGTAAACGTGTTGTAGGGCACAGTTCTTTTTTATTTGGGAGGGGGGAGGAGAACGCAAACTTTTCTACTCGTCACTTCGTGGTTATTCGAACAGCAACCAGGCTTGCCAAAATTATACGCAAGCGCACACCGACAGAGGCACCGACCAGTATTTTTTATAGTGGCAGCCTCGAATTTTACAAGACTCTGCGTTTTAAATTCTCGGCCATTTTTTTTAAGCTGCACCAGTTAAGACATTCCAATCCGAGGCTGACCGACGCTCTCGTCGTTCTCTAGTTATCCAGTAACTTAAATTTCTCGCTATCTCTTCATTTAACATCCAATGACGCCTTGAGTCGCGGATCAAGGGAAATAGCAAATGAAAATCTTTATTTTATCATTTTCCTTATAAAATCAAGTAACCGCATCACTCAGATCCCGAAGCCGAGTCCTGTGATGCACATGCCACACATGTTCCAACATTAATCTTGAGCCAGTCTTGGATTTGTTCCACAAGCATCCTCGACAAGCAAATAAGAAGAGAAAATACTCCTTTGATATGTTTTCCAATCATGCTTTTATGTCTAAAAGAAACATTGATTTCCCTTCCAGCAAGACTCATTTCGGACGCCACCGTTTCTTACGTGGCTAATGCCAAAAGCTGGTCTAGTTGACTATAGCCACTTCCTTCCACAATTTCCTGGGGTTCTTCCAGTTCACCAGTCCATCATGAATGGCCTTATTCCAAATTGACACATGTTTCGTAAATTTTGCAATTCTTGACGTACCTAAGGTTAAATTATTTTCTTGTGGTTTCCCTGTATACTCTTCTTCGCACCAGTGTTTTACGCTAAAGTTAAGCTCTGTAAGGGAACAGTTTCGATAAGTATTTTTCCTCTGTATTATTTTCTAATTATTTTGCGCCTTCTGGCTACTACAAGACTACTGTCAACTCTTAATCTATCAATCTAATAAAAGTTCTAAATTTGAACAAGCCGAGGTACTTATTACACAAACTTTTGCTCAAATTAAATATCGCTCATTATGGCGCTTGCGTAGCTCTTAATACCACAGCAGCATACTCAAAGCAACTTATCTAATACTCACGGTTCATTCCGAATTCCGGAAATTTACGTTATCTTTTAATTCTTTGCCATTGAATGTTCAAAGGTCCACGACTTGCAATTCGATTTATTCATCAAGTATTTTTTGCATTTAATATGAATAGGGTGACGTAATCGTGGACCTTTGCGATGTTCGATCTCTGGCAATTTTTTGATAATCAAAATCTTGGCGAGAACATGAATCAAGAGCACGAATTCAGGAAATATACCACGATTATTGTATTTGCCGATAAGTGTATTTGTTTCGATTTCGTGTACATATAGAGAAATATTATACTGTATGTTTGTAAATAAATGAAAGGATTTTCACTTTGATTTGTCGATGAATTATGACATTTTCAATAGAATAAAAAACATTGCGTAGAACAGCAGATTTTTATTTACATATTTCCCAAGTCTCGTTTTTTTCGCTTTGTTTTTTTTATCTTTCATTTGTGTTTATTCCTTCCGTTCAATTTTATTTTACACTTTTTTTCTGCTAACGCTTTTAAAGTTTGCTAACGTAAAAGTCAAATGGCCGCCGTTTTTGCTTATCTGTTTGATCGATTTTTGAGTTGCTTTCAATCCTCGTCCTCTTTCGCAAACTGTTATTGCGTAATCAAGGTAAGTAACGAATTATTTTTAAAAATTAACGTACATAGTTTTCCATTATATTTTTGCACAGTAACTACAGGGTCGTAGATAAGTAACAAACAAAATGTCCCCTGAAGACTTTGATCCAAATTCCTATCTTGAAACTAGTGAACTCCATTTAAGATTCTGGTAATTAGCCATAGTGTGTGCGTGTGTGTGTGGGGGGCGGATTTTTTTGTCATACATGCAACAGTAGCCCTAAATATGTATATTTAGGGCTTTCGGAGATAAATCATTTGTTAACGGGTACTTTCAATTGTTAATCGTTCTTTCAAATGAAAAATATTTTGAAATTTTATTTTATCAGTAGGTAATGGAAAATAATAATTACCAAATGCCATGACTGAAAGATAACGTAACGTATATGAGTAAAACGGCGTACTCATTTTAAAAAATTTAAATTAATTGAGTTTAAAGTCTCTCTTATGAATAACATATTTAAGTTATAAAACAGGCCTAATAACATTATTAAATGAAATACAGGGCGTGGCATTAAAAAAACACAAATTTACTTTGTATATCAAAATTCGCGAGTTCAAGAAAAAAACTGACTACGCCAATGGAGCCTACATAAAAACCGTATTCAGATCAGTTTTCACCTTACCCAGTATGTGAAAATCTGCGATTGATACGGCATTCTGTTTGTGCCATCTTTCATTAAATATTGTGTTACGAAAGCCGCAACACGGTAACTTTAATTATTAGGGAGATACGCCATTGAACCATGAAAAATGGGACATACTGTACATATGTAGGTCTTGTAAGTACTTTTTTAAATAATACTCTTTTAACATACAACAATTTTCTGAACAACAAATGTTTACTTAGTAAGACAAATATTTTGAATTCCTAAGGAAGAGAATGGCGATAATTCCCATTTACTGGACGTTTTTTTCTACTATGAAAGTTGCCTCACTTTCCTATCACGCTCATGCCATTCCAGTTTAGATCGAATTCACTGGCCACATCTACTTCAAACTCAATGACATTAAACTAGGGAAGGACCATTACTTGCTATAATCGTTGCGTTCGCCAGTTAAAGGCTGACCGCTAAGGGTAATGACTGTCCGTGACGTACTACGTCCTCTTGAATCCAACAGAAATTTCTGGCATAGAAGACAAAAACGCCATCAAAAGACTACGGATAACGTCTTACACATTTTTTCACCTATTATGCCCGTATCCCGAATTCTTGTTTAAAAATATTCGTAGTTTATTACACTTCTTTTTCTACTTTTTTCACTACTAAAGGAAATTAAATAGCTTTATTTTTCTGTTCCGTTTTTTGTAGTATGTGTTCCACATTTCGTGGGTTGTTAAATAAAAAAAAAGACAACCTGTCAAAATTTGACGTTTAGTAATGTTTTGCGACTTTTCGGCAGCCTTGCCTTGTAAATAAGGTGCAACAATGTAGCACAGGAAAACCAAAAAAAAAAAAAAAAACGAAAATAATGAGGACTGACAATGAAGAAAATAATGATTGACAAGTCGTTTTCTTGCATTGCAAATAGGTCGTTGTCACCGGAATTTTCCTGGGAACAGCCGCCCTTGTTTCGAGCGCCGCAGTCACCTCAACCGCAAGAGTCGTCAGGTAGACACCGGAAGGCGACGCATTATATCCACAAAGCGAATACCATTGGTATACCGTCGGAAAACGATCTAAGCGACGCATCCGACAGCAAGATCGGCAATCCCAAGTCGAGAAGGAACTTTTTTGACGGGTTCAGAAATACGCTAAGGAATAAGCACAAGAGCGACTCTGCGGTGATAGAGTCGGCCAAGGAGAACGACAAAAACGATTTGCATAGGAGGTGGAGCGAGGCGAACCAACCAACGGTATGTTACCGTTGAGTATTTTTTAACTCGTTACGGCCAGTAGATTCGAAATATTAGGCTACAAATTAGCGCGAAAGCATGGGGGGGGAGTATTTTTTCCATCTTTCTTTTTTATATTTTAAGAATTGGTTGAAGTCTGCTAGCGAAAAGGTACAACAAAGGCAATTTTAAGGGTCGTTCTAATTTGTACAATTCAATTCAAAAAAAGCTCTTATAGTGATTACTATTTATATATATATATATATATATATATATATATATATATATATATATATATATATATATATATATATATATATATATATATATATATACCAAAGAGATACCTAACGAGTCATTGATTAAATACTTAGTAGCCAACCAAATTGATGAAAACTGTACGAATGAATCCTAACTTCACACTTTCCAGCGTGTGTTGTCAAAATTCTTTCCTGTGAAAAATGAGGTTATCCGACACTAAGCAGATTGAAACAAAAACCCCTGCAGATAAAATGTTATAACTCCAATGCAGTGAAAACTCCCATAACCGGACAGTCACGGTTCCTCTAGCTTTGTCCGCTTGTTAGAGGTGTCGCCTCATTAGAGGAACTTTATAAACTCTAAGATACTAGTCTGACACATATTTATTGTTTTTTGCTTTAACAAACTTGTCTGAAAATGATCTTATAAATTTTTAAGGTGTTGAAATGCTATTAGTCCTTTTTAGCAAAAACTTTTAGATCGGTAATTATTTTTAGGGCTTCATTATAGCTGTTAATTATGCTAGGTTCCCGACTATCACATTCTTGATCGCTGCCTTGTTCCGGCCCAGGTTCTTTCATGTTTTCAGTTGCATCTTCAATGTTCAAACTAGTCTTCTTAGTCGCTGTAATATTGTCGATTTCAACATAGTTTCTAAGAGTTTCAAGCGTTATGTTCATTTCTCTAACACATCGTTCCATTTCAAGTATCGTAGCTCGTGGGATATGATCTTCCGGAACCCATTCCATTGATGTAGAAAAATCATTACTTTTTTGAAAACCAGCTTTGTTGAAATAATTTGGTATGGTTTCTGACGAAAGTTTATTCCAGGCTGACTTAATAAAATAAAGTGCTTCTAGAATATTTAGAGATTTTGCTAAATCTGACGCGGACATTACTTGATCCATCTTTGAGACATTCTGTTTTAGTATGAGGGGACGATAATAGAATTTAACATTCTGTATAATACCCTGATCTAGAGGTATTTAGAGGCAAGAAGATAATTTTTATGTTTTGTAATTTTACTTCACGGGGGTGCGTGATGCTGCGTTATCCAAGATTAATAAAATTTTTCGCTTTTGTAGAGCCATTTTTCTATCAAATTGTAACAACCATTTATTCATAATGTCTCGTGTCGTCCATGCTTTCTTCTTAAATGTCCATATTGCCGGTAAATTTTTAATAGCTACATTTTTAAATGCCCTAAGTTGGGCAGCTTTTCCAATCACGAGCAAATCTTCTTTTTGTCCTGCCATATTAGCATAAAAAGCATCTCATTGGAAAGTTTTTCACCACTACATTTTTTCGGATTTCAAAACAAGTGTTTTGTTAGATAAGACTCGAAAGAAAAGGCCAGTCTCATCGGCATTGTAAACATCGTGTGGCTGATATGTATGCAACTTATTTTTAAACTGATTTACGTTTCTTGACTTACATCTGCTGATTCTCCGTAGATACACATACTTATCGCATGTGTCTCGTGAAACTTTTCCAGCCATCCATTTGGAAATTTCTAACATTAAGTTTTTCGGCTGTTTCTTGAGCCTCGGCCTTTACTAAGTGCCTCGACTTTGGAAGGTTTTGACCTCGCAATCGAGAAAACCAATCAAAATACCCTTTGTCAATTTGAAGTCTCTTAGTTTTTTTGATCAATATTGCTCCCGAGTCCCACCGTACACGAATGCTGTCCTTATTTTTCACAATTCCCGCCGCTTGAGTTTTCCCGATTTTAAATTTTTCTGCGAGCTTCCGCACTGATAAATTTTCCTCTTCCGAAACCTTAACAATTTCCATTTTTTCTCGCAAAGTAAGAAGTTTTTTAGTAGGTGCCATTTTAAAAATTGTGGAATCCACTTACGGCATTTGCTTGCAAAATAAAACTGCAAGTCACGGCGTAATGAATAATACTGTATGATATGAAAAATGAAAAAGGATAGGATTAGGAAAAAGGTAATTACCCAATATTTTAGCATTACATTGTCCTTATATTGGTGGTTCACGTCCGTTTAAGAGAGGTAAATTTTTTTTTAAGTCAGGACAGTGTTGTCCGCGCCCGTTTAATGGAGTGTTCGGTTAAAGGAGTTTGTTTTACAGGTATAAGGGTAGACAAATATTTCGTTTTAAAAAAATGTCCGTTTAAAAAGGAGTTCCGCCTAATAGAGGTGTCCATATTGAGAGTTTTCACTGTATACCATACTGATACACCAAGACAAATGTTTTGCATTTTATTTCTAAACTGTTCCAGCTTCTAGCTCGTTGTGTCCAGGAAATATATTGAAAGGACGCAGAAAATAATGTTACATAACTGTCAACGGTGTAAATACTTTTCTAAGTTCTCTATCAATACAATTTGCGAAAGTTGATTTGATTAACTGCCATTTATAAATAACTTAATACATATTCAATATGTGATAATAACAAATTAGTTTATAATTATTTTATTAAATACGCCAAGAAATCACATAAGTGACCATCATGGAAGAAGAACCTGATGAGTAGTAGATTTTTTTTTGAACTTTAGTAACACTAAATACTCCACGAGTAACAGAAGTCCAAGTGTAGGTGTGAAATTAATGAAACCATTACTGCTTAGCCGTTAAATAGCACTTGGCGAGTCCTTAAATCAGTTATTGTACATCGTTGTTGTGAATAGGTAAAAGAAACAATCTTATACTAGTTTGAACATATTGTGGCATTGAGACCCAAAATTGCAGAAACTCGAAGAACCATTTATTATTCAGGCTGTAATGAAAACTAAAATTAAAGTTAAATCCGTACTTTAATTACTTCTAGAAGGATATAAATCATCAACAATCTCAAAATAATAAATAACTTTTCATTCTACGAAGTTGACAATTTGACAGTACCATTAGACAACTGAAATTAAAAGAATATAAATATATTCCAAGAGATGAAGATATATTTTCACCAGAACCCGTTAATAGTTCGATGGTATCCATGAGCATTCTGAATATTGACTCCTTAAAAATCAACGACTCGTCCAATTCTCTTTACCTATTATAGTGCCATTATTGTATTGATCTACGCCAAAACGCAATGTCGCAACACGATTGATGTATACGGGCATGAGTTACCTAACCATTACATTCTTTTTTCTCTCTTTCTTAGGTACTATAACTCGCAAGCTTCCGAAATGTTACAAAAACTAACCAAGATTGTCGATGACGGCTGTGATTACTATTAGTTTAAGGGTTTAAGAAATAGTTTCGACTAGCTAATTTGTTATTACCTGGCAAAAAATCAATGAATTACAACGGAAAGCGCGTTTTTACGGAATGCTGCCACTTTATGTAGACGATACCGGTGAGCATGATCGCTTTTTTTTTGTGGAACATCACTGCAAAAACGGCTTCTGGTGGTTTGGTTTTATTAATCATGTAACGCTTCAGCTTCAAATTTATGTTCATCTCGTTTAATCCCTCCGACTCTTTTGCTTCGTTCATCTGCTAAATTCCTCTTATTTCAAGCAGTTCACAGAGGATTTATTTTAGTGCGAAACCCATATAATGGCGCCAGGCACTCAAGTCCGTGTCGTTCGAGAGTACCCAAACGTCAATCTCGGAGAAGTGGTGACCATTATACGGTACGACGCCAACAAGGGGTATTTGGTACTCGTCAATTGCGCCATGGAGGAAACCTGGCTTCCTCCTCACGTAATATCAAACCATGGTCGTAAACCGTGGCCGTTTGCCTTCCGCAAACTAACCAGAAAACCAACCGACGACAACGCCCTCTACGAAAATCCAATCGAGGAATGTCTACCGGAAATAACAGACCGCCTAAAGGATGTGACGGTCCAAGCGGGCTCCAAAGTGACCCTCAGGTGTCGGATACGAAATGGCGGACAAACCACGAGGCACAGTTGGAAGAAATTGGAACCCAACCTGTGCGTCCTCCGCAACGGGAGGTTCGTCCTTAACAGCGACGAAGAAGGAATCGCGATACTCAGCTTAGATAACGTCAAACCTTGCGATTCGGGTACATATTCTTTCACGATCACCAACGAGTACGGGTCCACGTCTTGCTCGGCCGTACTAACCGTGACAAACACCATAGCACTTTTGAACGAACCGAAAGTACAGATAATATCGTCCACCAGTGTCCAATTGGACTGGGAAAGTTCAACCTACACGCAGTTTTACGTAGAGTACTGCAAATTGGGCACAGGAGAATGGATAATGGCAACGAACAACCACCCCATTAACACTCAATTTTATACCATAGAGGATTTAATTCCGGGCGAAACTTACAGCTTTAGAATCGTAGCGGCGCAAAACAAGCTGGTTAGCTTGCCTAGCGCTGCCGTGACCTTGCCGGTCGCCGACACTTTAAAGTGGCAACAAGAACAGTTCAAGGGGCGCTACTTAGAGCTGGAGGAACTCGCCAGAGGTCGATTTTCGATAGTGCGACTGGCTAAAGACAGAGGAACTAACGTCGAAGTAGCCCTGAAGCAAATTACCAGGCGGAAACAATCCCACCAAGTGACCCAAGCGGAGTACGCTCTGTTGGTTAATATGGAACACCAGAACATCATCAGAGCTCTGGCGTTGTTCGATAACGCACCCGTTCCGGGAATGGACACTATCGTTTTGGAACTGTAAGTTTTCCCAAATGATATGTATGACCTCTGGTGATTGGGGGTTCATGTTTTTACAGAGTTAGGGGTTCGCTACTGTTTAATTACATCGGCGAAGAGGAAACGTACTCTGAGGCGACCGTGCGAATCTACAGCAAGCAGCTGATGTCGGCGTTAGCTTGGCTACACAAGAAGGACTTGATGCATCTCGATGTAAAAGTAAGCACGTTAGATACAATAGGATTTGGTATTTATTGTGTATGAAAGTCTGGCGGTTTTGCCCCCCCACCCTTTTGTATCTCATTCTTCCCAAGGTCGGGCGTCTGCACGGTATCTGCTCTGTCATTTTTTCGTCTTCCAAGCACATCCGGCACTCGTAATCATAGGCGAAGTTAAGGCTGCAGTGTCCGATGTACATCCCTAAGAGGATTTACAGATTGGATCTATTAATTGCTAATATGGTGTCATTCGCGATTCTTCGTAGGATTTTCTTACCTTCAACCTTGCTAATTCCTGCGTTTCCTCTGATATCCAAGTTTTCATTGGCGATTGGCATGATGTAGCCCTAGTGGTGACGCCTCTGCTACTTTCCTCGCTAGAAGGTTGGGTTTTTCGTTACTTTCCAATTCGCTATAACCTGATATACATGTCAGTGTTATGTTATTAGGGTCCTCCCAAAGATGTCACTGTTCTATGATGCCTGCCCCTTTTATGTCATTGTCTCACTGTGTACACATCCCTGTTAGGTAGGTTTACTTGATCGGGAAGGTCGGTCATTGATATCTTAGACATATCTAACGGCATCTCCATAATGCCATGGTTTAATACAGATTAAGCCTTACTCATGGTGGTGTGCTATTTTCTTTAGTCTTTCTCTTTTCAAGAGTTAAGTCAGTTTTATACTCAGCCCACTCCTCCTTGCTTGACCATACGATGCACTACTCCAATGTAGGTTGTCACGTATTTGCAGCCGGAGAACATTATGGTGGACCAAACCACGCAGCCACCAATCCTCAAACTGGTCGACTTTGGTGACGCGGTAAACACCCAGAAGAACGTCATTTTGCCGCCAGCCTGTCTGGAATTTGCATCACCGGAGCTCGTATTGGGGCAACCGGTAGGCAAGCATACCGATTGCTGGGCCGTGGGGGTGTTTCTTTACGTCTTGCTGAGCGGGGTGTCGCCTTTCTTGGATGATTCCATGGAAGAAACCACCGCCAATATATTGAAATGCGACTTTTGCTTTCCGGAGGAGTATTTCCAGGACGTCTCCCACGAAGCCAAAGAGCTGATACAAAGGTTACTGGTGCTGGTGCCCGCTCAAAGAATGAACATGGAAGCTTGCTTGGACTTTCCATGGTTGTTAGAGGTAAGGAAAGTGAAATATCTCGTGACAAAGGTTTAAGGAATGGGTTTCTTTCAGGACAACTCGTCGATATTAATCAATTCGTCTCGGCTGAAGACTTTTATGCAGAGAAGACATCCGATGAACGTTCCGACCACGCCCACTAGTCCCATATACTATGGCGAGCAAATATTTTGAATCAAACTTAATGAAGTGATTTTAGGTTATACCTTTTAGTATGTGATATCTTTCCATTAGATGTTAAATTATGCAGTTAGTGCAATCGGTGACGAAACGTCGCGCTTTTATGTAGACCAAAATTAACTCGGCATGTTTTAAGTGCCTTTAAATAAGTATATACTATATATAACAGACGGAGTTTTAACTCCTTATGTACATGTTTTTCGTTGTAATTCGTTTTACACTTTGCTAGTGATATTTGTAAGTTTTGTCCGCTCTACCATACGTGACTGTTACACTTTTGCCAATGTAAACAACTTTATTAAAATAAAAACGGTATTTTTATTAATATCGCTGTTTTGTCATTCTTCATTAAAGAGAGTTGAGAATTTGATCATTGAGTTTACAGACCAGTTCTTTACGCCGGAGCTTATGCATGTTATATCCCCATTTAAAACAATTGATTTTGGAACAAATTTTTATATATTGAATCACTACATCAGTCATCTTACAAGAGTTGAGGATATAAAGGAATACTACAGGATTTGAAGGTATTGGCTCTTTCAGAGCTGTTCATTGAACAAATTTGTTAATCTTATTACCCTGTGCAACCCCTAGCGGTTTGACAATACTTATGAAATATTACTGTTTTGTCTCTATGTACTGGACGGCTGCACTGTAGTTTTGCCTAGAGCAAGGAACATCAACTTTTCCAAAGTGTTCAAAACCATGTGAGGTGTAATGCGTATTGCATTGCTATAACTATATTGTGCGACTTCTAAAAATGTGCCTTGAAACTTTAAAAAAGATCGAATTTAACGAAAGAACAATTTTGCAATTGATGAATTCAGAGACAACGTTAATGAATATCCTTTTTGAAAATTTTATTGCAATGGCAAGCTGAAATCAAATTAATTGATATTATTTTATTTCACAAATACATATAGCTTGCTATTTAGAGAAGGTTGTACATACTGCGCAAAAACTGACGAATTTCTAATAATAATAATCATAATGACTTGTAAAAAGGCGAAATTGAAGCTTAGCTTGGTATGTTAACCTATTTTTCTAATTTAACTTAACCTTATGATAACCTTATAACAACATTTATTTGAAGATAAAAGATAAAATTATACTCTACTATCTACCTATGAGTTTCGTGTCAGCGTTGTATGGTTTATGGTTGATATTGCTTTAAAAAAATAGTTTGCTTGGTATCTAAGGCAACCATTTCGAAATAAAAATAGAATATTGTTCTGTTAATGAGTGCCACTCAAGAAACAGTTAACCAATTGTTCCGACAATTTTATTCCTTAAACCTACCCTCGGCACACATTAGCAGAACAATTTAAATACGACGAAATAGTTTTTATCGTAAGCGCCATGTTCCGCAATCTACAAACCGCAAAATATTTTAGCTGACCTATAAATAATAAGGCCGCCAAAGGTTCAAAGTTAACAACCAAACATTATGAAGTACTTCCTTAGGGCCACGTGTGCTTGATGACAGCAGCGCCACCATCGGAGAATGAATTCGCCCTCGTACAAACAGGTCACAAACTTTTGTGGTTGTGACTTCGGAATGAGTTTAACACCGGTTTGTTTTAAAGCGGAAGAGACCATTATTTTCAGCACGTGTACCACAAGCCAGGGCCATATTTAAGATGTTAGCCGTCAAGAACTGTGCCGTGTGGACTGCTGTATTTTTATAAATCTTCCTAATGTAATCCCTACTTCAGGTAGCTCGATTTCAAGTTGAATTTGCCCATTAGATAGGTTAGAAAGTTTGAAAAAAATTCAGCTTTTAGCATTTGTATGCACGAAGTACCGAAATATGGTTCTGGAACATGATAGTGGAATTGCGAATCTATTTTCTGAGGGTTATAAAGAGAAACCCAAGGGACGAAGGCCTGCGGTTAGACCTTCATAAAAATTTACCAAAGTTAAATACTGGATTACGTCGTAGAAACGGTATATCGTACGATCAACTTTACCACCGCTCTTCACAAAATGCCTTCTTTTAGCGCTTAAATGTCTGTGTCAAAACCTCCGTTTCCGATAGACGCGCCCTGTAGCGCCTCTAACGCGCATCACACGAGTAGCATCGAAAACATAAAACTGACTGTACCTTCCGATCGTCGCGCCTTGCACATTAACCGCCAGATGGCGCAGCGAGCGACACGCGGAAAGGAAAAAAAGCTTGCGCGGACGTAACGAGAGCGTACGTAAAAGCGATTACGTGGAACTCGTGTCACGCTTTCATATTTTACGCGTTAAAGCGTGCGACAAACGCTCGAAGGCCGAAATTTATTGCCTTCGACGAGTGTTTATTCATCGCCGTTTAAAAAGCGAATCGATAAATACGCGATCCTCTCGCGGTTTTTTATCGTCGCTATCCAAACGTTTGTTGTTTATACGCGACTTTTGTTTCTATCGTAGCGAAGCCATATTTTGATTTCTGTTTCGACGCCAGCGTCAAGCCGACCGACTCGCCTATTTTTATTTCTACGTTTTCCTGAAGTAATAAAACGCCGAAGCTAAACGGCCTCTAGTCAAACGTTACAAATTAAAAGACCAAACATTCGCAAACGGACTAAATTTAAAGCTACGCGATCCAACATGGCCGCGCGCCCACTTTAGTTATTCGTTGAGTTGTATGAAAATCAGTTGTTGTATGATCCGTTTTGAGATTTTTTTTAATTTGCTGGCTAAAATATCAAGGTACCAGTCATACCGGAAGTCGGGGTCTATACATGATTGCATTTTTCAATTCTTCGCAAATTTTTTGACATTCAATATGTTCTGTCAAAAATAACGTTTACGACATGTTATTTCTTAAACTTGTGACCCGATAGAGGTTATTGGAGTTGGTCTGGTATATTGCAGAATGGTAAAACGTAAGCATATATAATTGTATCCATAAAAACGGGTAAAATATTAGATAAATTAAAAGATGGTGCTACTGGTAAACTGCTTGCCTTGACATACAGCATCCATTATTTTCGATATCAGAAAAAACGAAGAAAAAATCATGATAAATAGATTTATTTGGTCGTGGTAATTGTCTCTTGAATTTTTGGGAATAAAATGATTTTAACAAAAATGCAAGTGACATTCCGATTTTTTTATTAACGCGGAGGGAGAGGGAGGGAAAAATCAAACTTCTTTGTATGAACATGGGTCCTAAAATCCATAGTTTTCAAGATAACGGGTGTCAAAATTTAATAATTATCTTAAATATCCCAATAACGATAATCATAACAATAATAATAATAATGGTAACAATAATAATAATAATATTAATAATAATAACGGTAATAACAATAATAATAAAAGGATTAGAATTTGTTGACAATTAGGGACAATAAATTGGTTTAGATTTACAAAGGAAGATTTTTCAAAAGTTTGACATCGTATATCTTGAAAACTATGCATTCCAGGTTCATGTTTAAAATATTCGTAATTACTCCCGTAATTACAGGAAGATAGTAATTTTGCTGCAAAATTACAAGAAAAGTCAATTAACAACCTAAAGCCAAAATAATTTCCCTAAAGAGCAATAATGATAGAATTATATACCAAAGAAACCACGGTACTTAACTAAAGTTACACACCCATATTTATTTTTATCCAAATAAAATATATCATTTTTTAAATTTGGTAAAATGTTAACCGTTTAGAATAATTCAACAATGAATTCTTTTCTCAAGGCGATTGAAACCGTAGGTCTTCGTATGAAAACAACGCAACCGTTCCAAACGTTACTTCTCGAGGGGATTAACATTTTTTTTGCCAGAGGTCTCCTTGAATTGGAAAATCTCAGAAACTTAAGAACCAGCTCGCGACTTTGCCTTTTAACACCTATTCTTTCGCGACTTTTGCGATCAAAAACAAGACGACGGTGGCGACCTCTCGACGTGTTTCCTTTGTTACGTAACCAACGCGCTCGCGGTTAAGGTCCTTGAGAAATCTACGATAATGGCATAACAGTTGTCGACGGTACGTATAAGTGCCTCCTTGGCACGAAGCTATTCGATTCCCGTTAAGTATCATCAGTCGGGAGCGAAACCGTTCATCGTACGCTTCGCAATGTTCGATTCACTTCGAATCGAACGACGATAATGGGGCCGCTTTCGTAGGCCGTAACGGCATTCAATATTATTCCCCCGTGTTTTATGAAAACAATATTTTTTTGTTGTAACTAAACGATAACGCTGCACAGTCTATGAGAAGGACGAGTGACGTCTCACACTGACCTGAAACTGGGCTCACTTAGGAATCGAGTAGGGCTGAGGTCCGAGGTTGGCGATCCATATAGCTAAACGAACTTTGGAAACGCTCTTCTGAAAATGTCATTTGACGAACATCCAAAACATGTCTTTCATCCAATAATTCTGTCTTCGTCCAATAGATCTTTTATCTTACCCTAATTAAAAGTAGGATTTCGTATTTTGGACCTCTCGTGATATGTCCATTCTTATTTTTATAGTTTTATAGTTCTTTTTCTTTGTTCATCCTTTCTCTTGACTTTCTGTAACCAGGGAATACGAAGAAGACGCCTGTATACATACATTTCGAAAGCCTCAAGTCTTTTTTCGGAGCAAGGATCAAGGGTCCCACACTCACACCCATATGAAAGCACGGAGAACACACAGGCCCTCACCATTCTCATTATGAGTTCCAGATTAAGTCTAGTTTTATGGAAGAATCTATTCAAATTTATGCATGTCATGCGGGCCTGTGCAATTCTGGCGTTTACCTCTTTCCTTGGATCCCACTTTTCATTTACGTTGATATCCAAATATTTAAATATTTATAGACGTTCTATGACATTCTCCCCAACTTTAAGATGTCCGTGAGTGGCAGTTTCCTTTTTTGTTATTAGCATCCATTTAGTTTTCCTTACATTCAGTGTCAATCCAGACACTCTACTATAATATTCCACTCTATCTATTAGGTTTTGTACGTCGGCGTATCGCAAATTGTTTATGTGGTTCCCAATGACAACTATGCATTCGTATAAGGCTTCCTTAAATATGGCATCTGAGAATAGGTTGAACAAAAGTGGCGAGAGAATATATCCTTGGCTCACCCCCTGACTTATTTTTACCGCCTCTAATCTTGTCCAGTTTTAATTTCTGCTAAAGGTCTCTTTTATCTATATTAGTTGATTTCAGGATTTCCATTAATTTATTATGTCTTATGCAATCAAAAGCATTATTATAATCTACAAAGCATGCATAAACATCTACGTTCATATCTTTGCAGCGTTGGGCAAGTACAGTTATTGAAAACAAAGCTTCACGTGTCCCCAAGCCTTTTCGAAATCCGAATTGTGT